ATAGTTTTACAAAATAACTTTAACATAGCAATAACAGTAATAATACAGTGTCTGGCAATTTGCTGCCTGTTAGAAGGGGAGATTCACAAACACACAAAATAAATACACTTAGAAACAGCAATTAAGGACGGCATTACTAGGAAGGTGTATTGCTAAAAAATCTAACCAATAAAAAAATTCTAGATAAGTACCACCTCTAAGATCAGCCATACAACACAAGAAGGGGTCCCCCATACCTGCAAAGTTGTCCCTCCTACTTTTGCCCCTCATTACCTTCGGTCTTTGTGTAAGTTTTTCGGCAAGGATATGAGAACAGACTTTGGGTCACCATCCCCGCGATGAAAGCTGTGTGGAGAACTTCCAGAGATGGGCTTTCTCTAGGACTTAAAAAACCCAACAGGAATCCTCAAACTGATATAGAAATGTGCAAAACAGAATTTAAAACAGGAAAAACGAGGAATGGGTGGAAACCAAAACTGAGATTTTGCCCACAAGAGCAAAGGTGAGCTGTGGTTGGTGGGAGAGCAGAACAACAACTGTTCCTCTTTATATGTTGGTCTGCTTTCATGGAACGTGGGTGGGGGAATTCACAATTAGTAATTTCATAATTACTAAAGTAAAGGATGAGAAAGGAGAAAAGATGCCTGGCTGATGATGCATTGTGCAGGCTTGAAGACCAATGTAATGAAACACTGAGAATGGTTGGGCAATGGAGGTCATTGCCCAAGAATTTTCCTCCCTGGATTTTCTAAAGAAGAAGATGGAAATGTATCAAATAGGGGTGGATTAGGGAGCAAAGCTTGGGTTCCAGGAAGGAGGTATTCAGGGCATTTTTTTTCAGCTGGAACTGACAGGAACTCAACTCTGGCCCCTATCAGGAGGGCACCATTGCCATTATAAGAGGACAAGGGAAATGTTTATATTAGGTTCCGGCACCAATTTATCTAGAAAAATAGCATTGGAGATGTTCATATGCAAGCAGGGTCTCTCTGCCACTTCGATCCTTCCACCACTTAGGGGCTGCCACAGAGAAGGCTCTCTACTGCACCGCAATCCGCTAAGCTTCTAAGGTAGTGGTTCTCAACCTGTGGGTCCCCAGATGTTGTTGGACTACAACTCCCATCATCCCTGAGCTCTGGCCTTGCTAGCTAGGGGTGGCGGGAGTTGTAGTTCAACAACATCTGGGGACCCACAGGTTGAGAAAGGCTGTTCTAAGGGGACTGAAATTACCAAGAAGGCCCCCTATGATGATCTTAACACCCAAGAGGGCTGGATGGGCAAAAAGCAGCCTTTCAGATAGGTGTTGCCCTCCAAATATTGAATCCTGACACCCATCAACTCCAGCCACCATGGCGAATTATCGTGAATGATGGGAGTTGTAGCTCAATGACATTGGGAGGTCAACACATTTACTCCACTTGCTGGAGACAATACTGAACTACAGTGGTGCCCCGCAAGACGAATGCCTCGCAAGACGGAAAACCCGCTAGACGAAAGGGTTTTCCGTTTTCAATGCGCTTCGCAGGACGAATTTCCCCATGGGCTTGCTTCGCAAGACGAAAATGTCTTGCGAGTCTTGAGATTTTTTTTTGCTTCCCCCCCCCTTTTTCTAAGCCGCTAAGCCTTTAATAGCCTTTTAGCAGCTAATCCGCTAAGCCGCTAAGCCTTTAATAGCCGCTAAACCGCTAATAGCGCTAATCCGCTAAGCCGCTAATAGGGTTGCTTCGCAAGACGAAAAAACCGCTAGACAAAGATACTCGCGGAACGGATTAATTTCGTCTTGCGAGGCACCACTGTAGATTTAATTATTTACTTCATTGGTATCTCTCTTGACTTCCAAAGAGCTCAAGGTGGTGTACATCGGTCTCCCCCTCCCCATTTCCTTCTCACAACAACGCTGTGAGGTAGATTATGCTGAAAGTGAATGGCTGGCCCCAGGTCACCCAGTGAGCTGCATGACTGGGTGGAGATTCAAACCCTGATCGCGCCAGTCCTAGTCCAACACTCTAACCCCTGCACCACCACTGCCCAATGGTCTGACTCATTTAAGGCCCCTGTCTTCCTAGGGCTGCTTCTCACCCTTGCGCACAAAGTGGCTTCCAACACAATCTCCAAGACGACCGACCGACCGAAAAAGTGCAGCATTGAAACATGAATACTGTGCCATAATATTGTCTCTTGAGACACTCGGCTGCATCACGAACATGGGGGGGGGGTACTCACTTCTGCACAGACAGCTGTGGTTACAAGGACAGCATAGCTAGATGCTTGCAAATAAAAGCTCTATTGACAACATGGTACGTAGGGGCGGGGCGGGGGGAGCGATCTGTCACGTCAACATCAACCTCAAGTAGCATTGTGCCGACTTATTTACGGTTTCCCTGGGCTGTTTCATATACAGAGGAGGCTTTTAATGAGAAAAACATGTGCTTTCCATAATCACTGATAATGTATGCCCACGTCCTAAGTCGTTCTGCAAACTTGTTCTGTCAGATTATTCCAGGATGTTTTCTTCCTTAGAGGAACATTACTTCTCCATTCATCCCTAACAAAACCAAAGTGGAAAAAAAACCTAAGCTTTGGGGGATTGGAGCTGCATGCATAGATGTGGACTTTCCTGTAATGTTGCTCACTAATTCTTTTTCCTTGCAAGTTGAAACTTTTAAACCAGGAAAAACTAGTCCGGGAGCCTCTGTGGCAGGAAGGTCCCTGGTTCAATCCCCAACATCTCCTGGTGGGATTGAGAATGTCCCCTTTCTGAAACCCTGGAAAGAATATTGAGCTAGATGGACCAATAAGGTAAAGAGACCCCTGACCATTAGGTCCAGTCATGACCGACTCTGGGGTTGCGGTGCTCATCTCACTTTACTGGCTGAGGGAGCCAGCGTACAGCTTCTGGGTCATGTGGCCAGCATGACTAAGCTGCTTCTGGCGAACCAGAACAGCACACGGAAACGTTGTTTACCTTCCCGCTAGAGCAGTACCTATTCATCTACTTGCACTTTGACGTGCTTTTGAACTGCTAGGTTGGCAGGAGCAGGGACCGAGCAATGGGAGCTTACCCCGTCGCGGGGATTCGAACCGCCAACCTTCTGATTGGCAAGTCCTAGGCTCTGTGGTTTAACCCACAGCGCCACCCGCGTCCCAATATGAACCAATAGTCTGCCCCTATTTAAAGCTGTGGGATGTAATCCATTGGGAGCAGTCAAGTATAACATTCCTTGTTTTCCTGGAGTGGACATGTCCTGTTCCTCCTGGACTGGAGCATCCTTCCTCTTGCATGTGACTAGAGGTGGGCGTGGCCTTACCTGTCCAGGTAACAAAAGGACAAGGCACGCAGCACTTCCTTCATTGTTGGACCAGCTTCTTAGCTAGGACTGCTCCTGCTAGCTACCAGCTAGTAGAAGCACTGGGGTTATGCCCCCATATGGGGTAGATCCACATGTACATATATGTAACTAAGTTTGCCTTCAGGAATCCAGCTGTGAACTGGTGTGAGTCAACTTCTTTTATTGACTTTGAATAAGATTATTGTGTCTTTATTCTTTACCAGGAATATATAGTGAGAGGCTTACACAAGTCAGCAGCAAGCTATCTGCTGTGTAAGCCTCTGTAAAGGAGAATGTAAACTCTGCTCCATAAAGAAACTTGCTAGCGCAAGTTAGGAAGGATATTAATAAACAATATATCCTCTCCAGCCACCCTGAACATTCCCACAATGTTCTTCAAAACCATGAATACACATCATCTTACTATTATTTTTAAGGGAAGCGCCATAGCTTAGTGGTAGAACATCAGCACTGCATGCAGAAGGTTGAATCCGTAATGGCATCTTCAGGTAGGGCTGGGAATGTTCACTGCCTGGAAAACTGGAAAGCCATTGAGGATTAGGCCCACCTTTAGATCAAAACATGCATTTGATGACCCACTTTTTAATTTTATACAGTATATTTGTACAGTTTAGTGTTATTAGTGCTGCTGAGACCCTTCAGCCAGGCTGTGGCACATCTGGGTGTCCCTACCCACCAGCTGAAGATCCAGGATAGGTCAGATGGTCTGGTGTTGCATGTGGCAGACTTTAGCGATCGGGGTGGTAGGAAAACTCATTTGTGGAGTATCTGCTTTTCATACAGAAGGTCTCAGGGTCAGCTTGGAGAGGAGGATGGGGACAAAACTAGAATTCTTTGGCTCTGCCTGTCATTGGCTGTGGTGCTCCCTGCCTTCCATCCTACCCATCCCAATGGCCACTAGCCACAATTGATTTCATTTAAGATTCTAGTGGGGCGCGGGTGGCGCTGTGGTCTATACCACTGAGCCTCTTGGGCTTGCTGATCAGAAGGTCAGCGGTTCAAATCCCTGCGACAGGGCAAGCTCCCGTTGCTCAGTCCCAGCTCCTGCCAACCTAGCAGTTCAAAAGCACGCCAAAAAGTGCAAGTAGATAAATAGGTACCAGTCTGGCAGGAAGATAAACGGCGTTTCCATGCGCTGCTCTGGTTTCGGTGTTCCGTTGCGCCAGAAGCGGCTTAGTCATGCTGCCACATGACCCAGGAAAACTGTCTGCCGACAAATGCTGGCTCCTTCGGCCTGTAAAGCAAGATGAGCACAGCAACCCCGAGTCGTCTGCGACTGGACTTAACTGTCAGGGGTCCTTTCCTTTCCCCTTTTTCAGATTCTAGTGCCAGACCAGTCAGAAATATATATGGGAACACAGGAAGTTGCCTTATACAAAGTCAGACCATCGGTCCTTCTGTCTCAGTATTGTCTACACTGAATGGTAGTGGCTCTCCTGGGGTTCAGACAAGGGTCACACCCATCCCTATTTGGAGATGCCATTGGGGAGTGATGCTGGGACCTTCTGTGGGCAAAGCTGATGCTCTAGCACTGACCTACAGCCCTGCACTCTACTGATGTTGACCATTGGTCCATCAGGCTCAGTACTATCTACACGGACTGGATGCGGCTTTCCAGGATTTCAGACCGGCGTCTCCTCCAGCCCTACCTGGAGATGCCAGGGATTGAACCTGGGACCTTTTGCATTTAAGGCAGCTTTTCTGCCACTGAGTTACAGCCCTTCCCCACAATCCAGCTCACTCACACAGGATGGTGAGCAACAAGTCAAGGGCAAGCTACATGACAGATATCACATCCAGCTTGACCCAAAATGTCCTGTGATCTGAAAATGGGACTGAAATGTTTATTAATAAAATGCTACATGCATATACATTCTTGCTGTAGAACTGAGACCAGCATGCTTTTGTTGCTTTGTGTAAGTCCTGATTCTAGGCTGGGTCCAATTCGTTTTACTGTTTTGCATCTGGCACCTTGCAAGGAGTTGACACTAAAATAAAGTCTAAAATAAGAGACAGGCTGTGATGACCAGTCTGCAACTCCAGCTTTAGCAAATACCTCTCTTTCTGCTCCTTTGCCGCAAAGGAGCTCTCAAATCTAATTTGCAGACTAATTAGAAGGAGGGTTTCAAATGACTATTAGGGGTGGTGGAATTTAGGCTTGGTTCCCCCATCCCTGAATGGCAAAGAGAGAGAGAGAGAGAGAGAGAGAGAGAGAGAGAGAGAGAGAGAGAGAATACAATCCAGTTTTTATAATGGAGACTGGTCTGGCGGTTCGGTGAGTGAGGAGGGAGTGGGCTGGTTGACAAGGGTCAGTGCCCTGATAGCCCTGTGATCAAAGCCTGCTGTCGGCAACATGAGTTTATAGGCAGCCAAACCAAACAATGGACGACTTTATCTCATCTTGGAGTGAAGAACAGGGGCCAAAGTTCCAGGAAACTATTTCTGAGCTAGACAGTTTTTGTTGTCATTCTGGAACGTGCTCTCTCTCTCTCTGAGCTGGTCCTAGATGAGATTCCGATAGCAGTAAGATTGCAACATTTTGGGAAAGTTGCACATTAGCGGGAAAAGCATCATGACCTTGGAAGATGTAAAGCATGGATGGTTCCTTGAATTTGGCTGTAGACTATCAGCAGCTGGGGCCAGCTCTAGGGGCCAGCCAGCTGCCCAGCCAAGGGGGGTTAGCAACATCCTTGATTGTACTAGGACTAGTAGTAGTGGTCAGTGCCCTTTGGGACTGGTAGGGTGGAAGACAGGGAGACCAACAGTAGGTGGAGCCAGAGCCAATAACAGGCAGAACCACCCCATGCTGAACAGTGGGAATATTAGTATGCAGAGAATGCAGAGAGTGAAGCGTCAATCTGGTTAGAGTAAGGTTACCAGATGTCCCTGTTTCCCGGGGACAGTCCCCAGATTTATAAATCAGTCCCCTGACAAAAATCCATCTATTTAGTAGGAAATTGAAAAGTGTCCCCAGATTCATTGAAAAAAATCTGGTAACCTTAGGTTAGAGAGCACACTTTACCTGTCACAATCACACAAAGTTATTTATTATCAGAAGTGCATAACTTTGATAGGAAAGATTCCAATTCTAATCCAATTTATCTAGATAAAACAAAGGCAGCCATGCTTTCTCCTTTGTTCCCAGAGGATAGCTCCAAGGTGGCTTCTCATCTTGAGGTCTCATGGAGGAGGAGGAAGTGAAGAGGATGCAGCCTAAGATGTATCAGTCTAAATTGTAATGGTCAGCAGAGAAGGCAAAGCTACATGGATAATCTGGGAATCTGCAGCTCCCTTGCCCTATGTTTTAACTCCATGAAAACCCCATTCTGCAAGCTGAGTAGTACCCAAACATCAAGTAAGCAACAACTTAGGAGGAAGGTCACATTCCTGCAATGAGCATGGCCTAACAGGAGAAATGGGTAGAGGAATAGTGATAAGTCTTGCCTTTGTACAGTAGGCTACATTGCAGCCATGCAAAATTCAGAGGTGTCTAGGTCTCCCCACACCCACATCTTTCTGCCTACCATCCTCACACATACATACCCTCAAACCCCATCCCATTAAAATCAGTAAGCCCATTTTGGAGCCACTGGGACATCAGCAACAAGCAGACCAATCTGCTTCCCCCAGCCTTCTCCCTTACTTGCTTATTTGATCATTCCAAGCTCTGAATGTGGCAAAACAAAACCAAAAAAACTGGACCATGTTGCATATTTGCAAACCTGTCAGCTGTTTGGAGACCATCTCACCAGTTTTGAACCTCAGTCACCTGCTGACTTCGTACATGGAGCAAAAGACATGATATTTCTGCTTACGGGCTCACAAACATGAAGGAAGGCATGAGCTATCAAGAAAACAAGGGGTGAAAGGTGAGAGAGAATCTAGTGGCCAAGCAAAGGAGCTAGTAAAGCAGGATGGATCTGGTTGCAGGGGAATTCCCCACTGGAGACGTGGAGTCTCCCAATAAGTCATCTGAGAGGCTGGGGAAGAATCCTTGAAGGGGAAGCACCTGGGGAAGTCGTTGACACCTTTCCAAAAGTCTAACCTCAGCCATTGCACAGCCAGCTCTCACCTGCTCCAGCCATGAGCTTGCCTGTAATAAAACACTCACTGGTGCTGTTTTCCCTTGCCTAGTGCCCTTTGAGCCTTTAAGACATGAACAGGTCACAGTTCAAAGCTTCCTCCCTCCCCCAGCTCCACTTCACTTCATTCACAATGATGACAGAAGCTGTAGCTCAGTTCACTGGGAATGTCTCAATCTTGATCTTCCGCAAGCCTTGCGCATCCCATTGGGAAAGTGCCCATGATGGTCACGACAGAGTTGCAACTGTCTTTTTTTATGAATTGGGTTTTTATGTTGGAGAAGCCTGCAAGGAAAAAGGGGGGGGCATTATACTAGAGAAAATTGCTTTGCAAAAGTATGCTTGTTAAGCAAGATTTCATTAACACTGAATTCGCACTAAAAGGCTGGCAAATTTTCTTTGGGACTTCGAAGATTTTACAAACAGGTGTGTAAATGTGAAGAACTGAACCTAACATTGGAAAAATGAGAAACTGAAATTGAGAATTTTACCCATTCTTAGTTATGGTTCAGTGGCCAAACATCTGCTTTGCATGCAGAAGGTCCCAAGATTCAAACCCTGACACCTCTGGGTAGCGCTGGAAGAGACCTTGGTCTGAAATCCTGCAGAACTGCTGCCTATCAGTGAAGACAATACTCAGTTAGGTGGACCAATGGCCTGTGGGATATGACATCACTACAACATTTCCTGTTTGCCCAGAGTGGACACACAGGGGGGGTGTTACTCCCACCAGGAGGACTTCCTGTCACACCTGTCTGGATCATCCTCCCCCTGCTTGTGACCAGGTAGATGGATGTGACCCTGCAGACCCCTTAAAAGGGCTGGTCATGCAGCCATCTTTCTCTTGATGCCATTCCTTATTCTTTGCTTTATTTCATTCTGATGTTCTTTTGCTGTGTGCTGTGTCTCAGCCAGCAGCACATGGACTCAATCCCCATATGGGCTGAACCCAGACTCTCTTCTGTAACTACAAGCTAAAGCCTGCCTTCAGGGAACCTGCTGTGAACTGGATGTAAGTAAACGTCTTATTACTCCAAAGAGAAGACTGTTGTGTCTTTATTCTTTTTCAGAGGGAACAAAGGGGATTTACCAGGAACTAATCCAATCTGGACAAGACAGATTGCTTAACTCGAGAGATTCAAACAAATCTACCAACTAGCTTCCTGCAATATACTGGGGAATGTGCTCTGCTACTGACTCACTAGCGTGAGTGAGGAAGGGTAATATTTAATCAATATATCCGCTCCTACTATCCACAACATTCCCACATGGCCTGACTCAGTCTCAGATGCTTCCCTTGTTCATTGTAACACGATGCATGTAAAGTTCTCTGAACATTCAGAAGCCCTCTTCAAATGTGAAATACTCCTCTTGTGATAGCCTAACTTGTAAAGCACTGCAGTGGTCCGGTTCCCTGCGAGCTTATTCATATGCCATCAATTGTCTACCGCTGCCATTGCTTCCTTCCCAAATATGTTTTCCATCTCATGTTCATTTAATGCTCTGTCAGTTCTTTGCTTGATAAAGGCTTCTCCCGCACTTCCCGCCGATAATGCTCTCGTCTTGCCCAACTGACTTTTCATTTTACATAAGGAATTCCGATCATCCTAATTATTTTGCTGATTGAAAACATTTTTTTTGTGTGTGTGCCCTTAACCGAAAAAGTGGGGGCTAAAAATACTTCCCCCTGGAAGTAGTCAGAACCACATGCGGGGGCTGGAAGGAGAAAAGGAGATGCAGAACTCATTTATTTTCAGAGGCTCCAGGACTTAGGCCTGATGAGCTAACGTAGTGGAAAACACATAAATTGCTGGGAGGAACATGGATGTACAAACAGCAATTGCCCCATTACCGAGACATCTTTTTCAGCCTTAATGACAGCTGCTCAACAAACATATTTGAAACCTAGTTGCTTCTCTAAGCAAAACAATAACAGTGGCAGTCTTTATCTCTTTCCAGCCTTTTGCATGCCGCCTGATTCCTTCGCCTCTTTCAGTTGCGTTTTGCTTTGATGTAAGGGACAAACACAGCACACTGTTAAACTGTGGAACTCACTCCCGCAGGAGGCAGTGTTGGCCACCAGTGTGGATGCTTTAAAAGAGGATTAGACAAATTCATGGAGGGAAGGGATGTCGATGGCTACTAGACATGGTGGATATGCTCTTGCCTCCATGGTCAAAGGCAGCAATGCTTCTGAATACCAGTTGTGGGAAGCTACAGGAGTGCTGTTCAATCCCTGCTTCTGGATTTCCCACAGGCATCCTGTGAGAACATGATCCTGGACTAGGTGGGTCATTGGCCTGATCCAGCAGACTTTTCTTATGTTCTTACACCAGGGAGGATGTTGCCTCTCTGCTCAGTGAGATCAGATCTGCACCTTAGGCAGAAAGTGGTGGTGAATGAAAGTGTCAGAATGCTAAATTCCATGTATATATCTGCACACCTTACCACCATCACCATACAAAAGGTTTGCATGTAGAAAACCTTATGGAGAAGACTAGACCATGGCAGCAATCATGGCTTCAAACAGTCAAACAAGAATCTTGGAAACTGCAGTTTATTAAGGCTGCTGAGAGTTGTTACCAGAGCCCTCCCTCATTCCTCTCACAAAACTATAGTTCCTTAGGAAGAGGGCTT